TTTAGTTTTAATTCGCAGTAAGTGCGAATATGTTCCCTAGCTCATGGGAACCACTCAAATATGGAAGTCATTTATTATTGGCTTATTATTGGGTCTGGCACCCCAATAATAAACCAATAATAAAATGACGCGCAGTATCCGCTAATCGGATACTGCCCTATGCCTACTTATGTAATTATGTATTAATCCTATAACTACTTGTGTAATAGGTAGACCCATTACAGTATTGGGGTGATATTCTTCACCTTTTATAACATCATAGGGAGGTGGCAGATCACTTGGTGCAGGGAATTGGTGTACAAGCCCTTGCCAATCTCTTGCATTGTCCTTTGAAGCAACATGTTGCTCAGTTGGAGCAATTTGAGGCGTTTTTGCTCGTACAGCGTAGAAACGCGTCCGAGGCAAACAGCTAAGCAGCGGCTGAGTTCATTAGTAAGACTAAGGATAAGCTTTTACATGAGCAAGCTCGGAATGAGGCGCTCAACAGAGCTGAGGGGACGCTCTCTGCCCGATTTAATCAGCCAAGGCTCATTCGGATGGACCTTCCGCAGTTTAATGGGACTGCCCCACATACTATTGTCCACTGATTTTCAGCCGTGGAGCAATGCGGTTTGGCACAGTTCATCGAAGACGACACCAGGATGGTGTTTTATGCCATGTTAAATTTGCGTGGCAACGCGTCAGAGTGAGCTTACTATGCGCTTATGGCAAACGCCAATGAGATTCCATCATGAGCGATCTGTATGTCAAAGATTTAATCCATGTACCAGTCGGCTAATAATGAAGTGTTACTTCAGGCGCGCTTTGTTGGAGCACGCCTAAAGTAAAACTTCAAGGCGAAACAATCTCTGCAAGAGTAAGTGCAGAAGATGCGTTCGCTGTCTGCGTTCATTAATGTGGGTCCGATACCGGAACACATTAAGGTGCCTACGTTCATGAATAGACTACGGCACGGACCATCGCGTCAGGTTCTTTTTAGAAAGGCTCCAACGACGATGGAGGAGGCAATTAACATTGTCATGGTTAGGAGAAACCCTACAACAGTGCTTGGGTGACAGCTTATTTTAGGTCATCGGCCGAGAAGTCAGATGCCACTCCAATTGAGTTGGGGGTTCCCCCCTGGTGCCTTGGGTAAGCACCGGCCTGTGTCGTTAGTGGCGCAGGTTTAAATTCCCCTTTGACCTACAAGGTACAAAAACAATATGGCAAATTTCAATCATTGGTACCCCCCGGGAACCCTGGTACCAGTGAGTACGGACTCTCGTAGAAGCATGAAACCCCAAAACAGACTTATTGGGGCTATCCGGACTGGTTTGCACCCAGAACATCCGGCTGAAACGTCAGTACGTGGCACGATAGCCATGACCGCTCAGGGATGTGTAGGCCCTCGCCAAAGAGTACAGTACCAGGTTGTAAGAAATACTAGATGGACGGCTGTACCTAAGAATAAGAAGACGAAAAAAGACCTGAAGCGTGGCACCGAGTATTATGTGACCAGGCAATAGCCGTTGCAGAAGGAACAAGTCGATTACATCGATGAGTTCTTCGACAAGCGAGCTAAGGCGGGAAATGTACATGAGAGCAAGTCGCCTCACTGCAGCCCGACCTTCTTTGTGCGTAAAGAAACAGGTGGATGGCCCGTGGTCCATACTAATTATAGGCTGAGCACGGCCACCGTTCCGACGCAACTGCCGATCCCGCGAAAAGATGTCTTGTTGAATCTCACGATACATTTTAAAATAGAAACCCTGAAATTTACGGAAAGTCAACTATCTTTCCGGGTTGGATCTAAATGATGGCCACTATCAAATTCTCATGAGAGATACTGATGTAGCCAAAACGGCAGTAGCACCCCAAGCGGTATGCTTTAGGAGTGGCTTGTGATGCCACAAGGGTTGAAAAATGCTCCAACAACATTCACCGAGTGGTGGCTCACGTGATGGTCAGCACCGTGCCTACGCACCCCTTACTTTGACAATGTATTCGCTCATATTAGGGAGGAGGACGGTCTGAGCAAATAAGAGTTTTAAGCGTCGTTAAGGCGCTATTTGCAGACTCTGGGTGACGCCCAACTGTACGTGAACTTGCAAAAGGGCTTAATAAAGGTTCCAGATATACCTGTGCTGGGCTGCATCGTAGGTGCACATGGTGTACGAGCAGACCCAGAAAAGGTAAAGGCTGTAAAGGAATGGCCAGTCCCACGACACGTGAAGGATCTGCGCCAATTCCTTGGGCTCGCTAATTACTTGCATAAGTACAGCAAAAATTATGCGAAGCAGACTAAGCCATTGTCTGACCTTTTAAAAAAGGATACAGAATGGACTTGGTCAGAGGAACAAGAAGATGCGTTCACTTCAGGGAAGCAATCTCTTGTAGAGGCACCGGTCTTGGTTTTGCCAGACGCGGATAAGCCCTTTAGCGTCGTCTGCGATGCAAGCAATTTTGCAATCGGCAGCGCGCTCATGCAGATGAATGACAACGGCATTGACCGTGTCATATCTTATCAGTCTCGGATTTTTAAAGCCGCAGAGCTGAATTACCCTGTGCATGACCAGGAGCTACTTTCAATTAAGTATGCCCTTGTGAAGTTTTGGGTGCACCTCTTGGGCACCGAACCTTTTGTGGTTTATTCGGATCACGCATCACTGCGGACCGCTATAAATTCACCGCACCTCTCGCCGAGAATGGCAAGATGGCTAACATTCTTCTCTGAATTTAATTTCAAAGTTGAATATAAGCCGGGTAAGTCGAATGTCTTGGCTGACGCGTTATCGCGCAGACCAGACTTCGAGGCAAGACACCAAGAAAGTGTGTCTCGTGCGAAAGCACAAGTTGAGTCGTCAACATTGGCAGCCATGAAGGCCTACCATGTGACGAGCTCAATGGCCTCCGATATCAAGGAGTGTTACAGTCAGGACGAACATTGTCGCCTGCTGTTGTATCATTTTGGTGGACAAAAGATTACCCTTCCGTCACACTTGAAACCGAACTTAAATCGCTTTAGCTACAGTGATGGCTTGTTATGGATGAACATCGTTTTATGTTAACGGACTGCGCCATCCTCGGACGCCAGTATCGTTTGTGCGCAGCCCGAGTTTTAGTGGGGGAGGGACCCTCTTTTCGCTCGGTGCGAATGCCAAAGAGGGTAAAAATTGCCCTAGTGACACTGATAATTTAGCAGTAATCACGACACCTATAGGTGTCAATGAGGAAACGGCAAGAAGAACCTGTGCTACTTGACGATGACACTATAGTGTTATTAACAGCGTAGACCCATGACCGACCTCTTGGGGGTGTCATAGGCGAGCTGGATGCTAAAAGCGTGAGCGAAGCTCACAGCGCTTCGTGGATGAGCGATTAGCCATCACACGTAAAGTCCGTGATGCAATGGCAAGCGCACAGGACAAGCAAAAACAATATGCGGACCATCATGGTCGCAAAAACAAAGAACATTTGAGTGTCGGGGACAAAGTGCTATCAAGCACTGCTACCCTACCTTAAATTCAATTTCTGTTGTGGTGGAGTGGGTTCTTAAAATTGTATGATGAGACCCCAAACCACTCACTGTGCCGGATGCCGACTGTCGGAGGGGGTGCCTCGATGCCGTGTATAAACTTTTTCTCACCTTGTGTACCGGTTTGCACTCTTCGGAAGACTTGGTGAGGATATGGACGTCTGCCTTGAAGGAGGTAGACCTGGGGGTCCTCGAGTGGATATGCTTCACGCGGTAAGCCGATAGGTGGCCACTCAATCGACCTTGTCTTGGTCGACTGATGAGGGACCGGGTCGACCAGTGAGGGACCCAGGTCTACTAACGAGGGACCGGGCCGACCAATGAGGGATCGAGTTGATCGACGAGGGACCGGGTCGACTAACGAGGGACCGAGGTCGACCGACGAGGGACCCAAGTCTACCAACGAGGGGCCGGGTCGATCAATGAAGGGCCATGATCAACTCCCTTCGGTACCGGTTAACCAGTACCCTAATACAAATTTTCTTCTGTGGGTCCTGCAGATTGTTCTCCGCCAAAGGTCGCTACCCCTTGAGGCCCCTGTCTCTCTGGTCTCTTTTCCGTGACGCACGGTCTATACACCGAATCCAACCGGATTTTGGGGTCCCCATATCGCAAGAACAGCACATCACCACACTGTTTTACCTGGTGGTGCTACTAAGCTATTGCCCTAATTCATTAAGTCATTTACGGTGGTCGAGGTGGTTGGAGACCTAAATTATAGGCTCACTCTCCCACCGTATATGAAGACGCACCCCGTATTTTACGTGGGTCATTTAAAACGGTATGTGGAACCACAAGAGATCACATTTCCACATCAGTCTAACGAGACCGATGGTGACGTCGACTCTGAGACGAGCGTCGTTGCCGATCGGGCGACGGGGAAGCCGAATGAATTATCGTGTACGAGACAGACGACAGAGGACTCGGTGATCGAGGAGGATTCCGCGCTTGACGCGGGCCTCTCATCACCAGTCGCTCATGTATGTTCAAACGAAGTTTCAGGCGGTCATACCCCTGACGATCCCTCGCCCTCACATCGCGCAGATCCAAAGTCAGTCGCGAGACTTGACTCAAAAGATCAGACACCTCTTTCTTCAGCGCAGCGATCTCTGCCTGCGACTGAACGACAACAGGATAGGTAATCGGATACGCGTCTCGTTACAAGCGTATTCCTACGTGCTAGCCTTCAAATATATTCAAGCTCGCTGATGACGTCCGTCTGAAGCGTCACCATGACGCCTAGTCCCAACTGGAGGTCGTCCTCGTTGAATGTGAATCCATCCATGGATATCACATTCACGAGGGTGGGTCACACTGAGGTGCCTCACCCAAGTGGCAGGTCCAACGTACTATGTACCCTTTTAGACCTCCCCGTTAAGTATATGATACTTAACAGACTCGTGTAACCATAGGCCCATTACACATTTGGTTATGACGATAGTTGCTTCAAATTAGGTCAAGAGTTCCTGCCTACCTACCACACGGCCTATTTCAAGCTGGTGATTGCGCTTTGCAGCCGCTGGATGCCCATGCAGATCTCATCTTCGCTGTAAAAAGAAAATGATAGACGCGCGCATCGCGTCATGGCTGTGCCGGTGAGCACTCCAACGTTGCCGTTGTACAAAGTTCCCAGCGAGCACCGCGTACCAGGTGTGAAGGCCACACCATGTCGAGCCTCGGCAACTTTTAACAGCAACTCGGTGTGCACCCAATCAGGAAGCTGTAGCCACACAAAGTACCCCCCAGACGGCTCAATAAATTTAACGTCTGGGCAGTGTTTGTGTAGTGAAGAGCACATGGCGGTTTTGCGGGCCTGGAGGACATTTTTCAAATGGTCGATGTGAGGTAACAACATATCCTGCTCTAGCACTGCCCGTTTCAATAACAGTAACCATGCATGATAGTAAATATGAGCAGGATATAATATACAACAGCCAGCAACGTGCTTTTACCGGTGTGAACGAGCGCTGCGGTGACAGGATTCTGACCGCCGCCACTACGAATGGCACCAATTGTCGATAATTTCTCAATTGTCTCCTTGCTGCTTTGAGCCCAACCTGCAAAGTACATCATATGACAAAACCTTAATTACGTGGTACGACAACTACAATCTCAGCATTTACCTAGGCGAAGCCCCGGAGCAAAAATTTTCGAGAAGCTCCCAAATGACACAACTATACCGGAGTCGTCAAACGATGAGAGGGACGGCAGTCCGCCACCATTCAGATAAAGGAGATTGTACGGCTCATCTGAAATGACACGGAATGCATACTTTTGCGCAAGAGCCACAAGACGTTTGCAGCGTTCTGCAGACATAACAGCTCCTGTCGGGTTGTGAAAGAACGGAATCTTATACAAGAATGCCGGAATATCGCCCGAGGCCAATTTTGCTTCCAACGCGTCCAACTAAGCAGAACGCTTTGTTAGCCAACCAGCACTCCTTGGTATTGTTCTGCTTTACTTACATCAATCCCTTCCTTTTCCGTACGTATTCCTTCCAAGTCGAGGCCGAGCTCTCGAAAAATAGCGTGCGCCAGAAAGTAAGTCGGTTCCTCTACGAACACGCGCTTGTTGGTCTTGGAGAACACCATGGCCGCGTGTGAAATGGCTTGTGAGTTGCCTGCCGTCACCATGAGCGTCTCCGAGTCGACCATTTTAGTAGAAGTGGTGCCTAACCACCAGCCCAATCAGATATCTGTCACGATTTCAACGACCCCACGATCCACCGTTTGTTTACCTGCCACAAGTCGAGCGATTTCCTCTCGGAATCCAATGAACCCTTTTGCGGACCCATACTGTAGCATAAAAGGGTCTTGTGTCGGTATCAAGCGAGTAGCTGCAGCTTCACGGAACATGTCCAGGGGCAATAGAGATGCGGAAGGTTGCCCGATTCCAAAGTTGATGACGCTACTAGACGCGTGCGTCTGCGCGTACGACGATAATTGCACTGTTTTCACAGGGGTGATATCCGTGTTAGAGTGCATACTACGGAAAGATACTGTAGCTTGCCATGAACGGAAGAAGCATCGAGCATCGCGGACGCCATGGCACCATATCATTATTGTTCCGATTGCGTGAATGTTGCAGCAATGTGCCACGAAATGAGCTGCATAAATACGGACTTTTTCGCTAGCATCACAAACGCTCAAATTTAGTAATTTTTGATTGGTCAGAATGCTTATCCCACTTTTTGACAATATATATAAAATTAATTAATTTTAAATTTAAATATAAATATTGGTGATACGAAAGCCTTATCACTATTTGATGTAAACACTCCACTAAATTGAGCTTAAATAATACCATTCTTTTGGGGACACACACTATCATCGTACATTTCTGTAATTTATCTGTAATATCACTTGCTTCGTTTAGCCTTCAGTTCCACCAACGGTGTCATACGAGTACCCACAGCAGCAATGTATTTACCGCGTTGTCTAGTAGCCTACATACTGCATTCCTTGATTGATTTGTTCCCTTGCATTTAAACTTAACGTTAAGAGGTAGATCTTGACGTAGCGAGAATGGTCTATTCATCACAACTAGAACGCCAAAGTACCAAGAGACGTTGCTTGCTCTTGATATCAGCAGTTTCTCGAAATCATACCACTTATTTTTGATTTACAAAGGATTTCGTCGTTGCTTGCCTGAATGGTATTTAGACACTTGCTCTTCTCACAAGGCTTGTAGTCAGCCATCAGATGTAAACCAATCGCTCGTACGAGACGTTAATGTCTTCAAAACCGTCATCACAGCGCAAAATTTGGCAGCCATGTAAGGTACTGATGTCCAAAGCCGGTGCTCAGGTGTATGTCGACATACCGAATGTCCTTGCGTCCTTGTCCCAAGATCAAGAAACGCATTACACGGTTGCACACACCTCTTCATCAATCGATGTTGTTTTAGTTGTTGTATCAAATTCTTCTGCGGTAGCATCTGTGCAATCTGCGAATCCTGAAATGCCATTTCTCATGCCCTAGAGCACCGTGATGTACAGAAACGATGTGGCCATTTGTTTCCGGCGTCATGAACCACTGTGTTGACTTGATCCATGGCAACATTGCTGTCATGAGTTTGGGTCACATGCACTAACAATCAGGCATTCGTCGCACTGTCATTATTGGTAGGCAACCACACGATCAGCGAGACTCAATACCTTGTTTTTTATATGAACATGGGACTGTCAAATTCATGTGAAGTACTTTTACTTCACAAGAAGTCTAATATTAAATCGAATACGATTGGACAAAACCAATCGAGTAAGACAAATTTTGAAAAATCTAACCGGAACCGCGAGCCGTAACCGAGTTGAAGGTTACATGATCGCACGTGCAAAGTATCGATTAAGTAAACGTCTTTCAACCAGCCAATTTACTGTGGCAATCCTGAAGTAGCAATAGTGTGGAGCTCTTCGCCTGGAAGCCCATCCAACGAGTCAATTGGCATATATTCTCCCGAGAAGACTAAAGCAAAATGGTGATTAAGTACGTGCACATTGTCTTTTTATATAAACGCGTATGGAAGTAGCGGAAGACAAGCATAAGGAGGAGGGGACAGCGTACAGATCGCAGGGCGTCAGCATCGAGTGACACACGTCGCAGATACGTGTTCGCTCCAGCAACTAATTTGTAGCCCCGACGCCAGACTTCCTCTATTCCTTTCTTTAGCAGCTTCTTCCGCTCATTCCACAGCCACTATAAGGTCATATGTGCCTCTAACGTGTGTGGCATTTTGATCTCAGGACCGAGACGTGCTCGTTCAGCGAGAGCCGCATCTACCCTGGCCACGGTTCGCGCTACATTCGTCGTGATGGCTCAGCTTACGTGTTTATCAACGCGAAGAGCAAGTCGCTTTTTATGCAACGCAAGAAAGCTACTAAAATTGTGTGGACTCTTGGCTGGCGTCGCATGAACAAGAAGCTTAAGGTTTGTAGTCGGTAGAAACAAGAAGTTGAAGAGTGAGGAAGTTAGTACTTATGTTTGTACTACGATATAATGCTTTGGTTTTGTCATAGGTTGAGGAGATCACCCGCCGTCGTGCTCGCAAGACTACCAAGATCCAGCGTGCCATTGTCGGTGTCTCGGCTGATGACGTGAGTGAAGTATTGGATGAACTTGTTGAAGGTGCTTAAACTAATACGAACTGTAATGATGACGTGGTGGATTGTGAACAGATCCGCAAGAAGCGTAATCAGAAACCGGAGGTCCGTGCTGCTGCCCGTGCTGCTCTGAAGGAGGCTAAGGATCGCAGCAAGGCGAAAAAGTCGGTGTCCAAGTCCGAGCATGCCAGCAAGGGCACCAAGGGCGGTAACGCCCCTCGTGCTCAGAAGAAGTCGGGTAACCGTGGTGCCATTTAAATCAGTTGATCTGATTGATCGATCGACGCGCTGCTACTCGGGAGTCTCGCCACTTCTTGAATGCCAATTATCGGGACGTGGATTTTTCTCTTTGCTGCTTTCGAGCAATGGGCAGACGCTCTAGTGCGTTTTTTTGCTAGTTAGTTTGACCGCCAGTTGTGCTGCTAACTTAAGTGGAAGGAACACAATAGACGTATGTCTTGGAGGAAGATCCTTGCTCCCAATGCTGTTATGTTTGTCCATTGATACTTTTCTCATTGACAGCACTACGTACGATATAGATGCATCGTGCGTGTAGATTGTCGTCTATCCATTAAAAGTGGCATGTTGTCTACATGGACATTCGGCACCAATCAAATTCCATGGTGACCAGAAGTTTTGTTCTACTCCATTCACTAACTCGATTCCATTCACTTCTGTTACTGCCATGTCGACTGCTCTACCTACCAATGCTGCCCCATCCAAAGAGCTTACAAGTAAGGACTATTACTTTGATTCGTACTCACACTTTGGCATTCATGAGGAAATGCTCAAGGATACCGTGCGTACCAAAGCCTACATGAATGCCATTCTACAGAGCAAGAACTTGTTTAAGGACAAAGTGGTGCTGGATGTGGGTTGTGGTACTGGTATTCTATCCATGTTTGCTGCCAAGGCTGGTGCCAAGCACGTGTACGGCGTCGATTGTTCAAGTATCCTGACGCAGGCGCGCGAGATCGTCAAGGCCAATGGCTTCGCAGACACGATCACGCTCATTCAAGGCAAAATGGAGGAGCTCACGTTACCTGTGGACAAGGTGGACATCATCATTTCCGAGTGGATGGGCTACTTTTTACTCTATGAGTCCATGTTGGACACGGTGCTCTATGCCCGCGACAAATACCTCGTGCCCGGCGGGCTCATGTTCCCGGATCACTCGACTCTCTACATTGGTGCCATTGAGGACGGAGACTATAAGGCTGAGAAGCTTGAGTTCTGGGACAATGTGTACGGATTCGACATGAGCTGCATCAAAGATATTGCTAAGGTTGAGCCACTGGTGGATACTGTGGGGAGTGACGCACTCTTGACGGATGTGTGCCCTATTCTAGACATTGACCTGACCACAGTGACAAAAGATGAGCTGGCCTTCTCATCTACGTTCAAGCTGACCGCCTTTCGCCAGGATTTCTGCCACGCACTGGTGGCGTACTTTGACTGCACGTTCTCGGCTACACACAAGAAGCTCAGTTTTTCAACGGGACCCAAAGCCGAGTATACGCACTGGAAGCAGACTGTGTTCTACTTGGAGGGAGAGCTTGCTTGCAGCCCTGGTGAGGTCATCGAGGGCGAGCTGACGTGCAAACCCAATGCGTCCAATCCGCGTGATCTGAACATCGATATCAATGTGCGCTTTGATGGCGCCAGCGGTTCGTACAGCAAGTTTCACGAGTTCAAATTGCGCTAAGCTGATGAAGGAAAGCTCGCTGGCTAGCTTCGAAGCATGCTACTGGTACACTACCTGAGTAGACTAGATCCATTGAGAGAAAGATACTGAAACATTTTTATCATTCACCAGCCATTTTGTATCTCCTGCCCTTGCTCATGCATCCATTGCGCTTGTATCCGCATACTCATGGCACTATGTTTTCTCTCTATAAATACAGGATCTTCCTGCTTGTTTTGCTGGCTCAATATGCTGGATCGTAGCTGTAATCTGCACACTAAATCAATGGCACTTGTCGTACTGTTTTTTATTGCTCAATGTCCTCCATCTCCATGTCACCATCAACATCTTCCTCCTCCGCTTCTTCAACAGAATCCGCTTCATCATCTTCATCATCCTCTTCCTCTAGGTCAATATCCTCTTCCATACCATCAGCAGCGTTTCCATCAATGACAATGTCAGTGTAATTATGATCGAGCTGAGCAGCCGCTTTCACGAGCTCCTCGTCATCCACAAAGTCCATGTCAAGGTTGTTGCCAGCAATAGAAGCACCAGGCACGGTAGTCTGCATAGCACCAAAGCCCGTGGCAGGAACAGCCTGATTATTGTCTTCCATCGTGTTGCAAGCACCCGCAGGTGACCAGTCAATAGGGAAGCGTGTGACACGTGGCTTGTCTGCAAGAATGTTACGTTGCAGCTTTGAGATATCCACACGGGCGGGCGGATTCTCCAGCAAGAACGGGTCGGCATAGTCATTATTGACATAATAACCTACTCGTACGAACTCACGACCTCGGTATGAGCACGTAACAAGCGCCACTGTAACGCCCACTTTGTCCTCATCTGGAATCATGTCTGGATTGGGTGGATCCGATTGAAACACAAACTTGTTGGTGCCTACGGGTACGGGACCCACAAGCACTTCCTCAAGCACTTGGTCACGACTTTCGTCTTCGGCACTACCGACATATGTGATTTTCCACTCGAGATCTAAAGACAGTGACAATGCGATTGCACTAGTAAGACATACTCGGCCATTATCGTCATTTTTCAAGGAGTTTATTGAATGACGTACCGGCCTCGAGTTGTTGGGCACACTCGAAAGTGACCTCGAATTGAAAAGGATTCGTGAAAGCCGTGGGGTTATCAAGCACTGTGATATTAGTAAGCGTAATGTAAGCCATAATTATTCTACTGCAGTAAATGGAGAAGGAACGAGAAGGGTTGGAAGAATAAAGGAGAGAAAGCTGTCGGGACAGAGTCTGAGTTGGTTGGTAGGTCTCGAAACTAGAGTCCACTAGACGTTAAATCAAACAAATAGTACCGTAAATGTATCACAAGTACGAGTTTATCGTAGATAACTTCTATTCAATAGATAGATGCCGTAAAAAGAATGTCCACTGTCTGTCAAGGGTCCCGGAATCGTGCATTCCAATGTAAAGCCGTCGCTGTTCCATGCGCTCAATCCTTTTTCGGCCGAAGAAATCCGTCCAGCGTTAACTGACCGACTTTTCTTCGCTTCCTCGCAAGTCGGGACTGAAAGCTTATGGGTACACTTGACGGGTCATTGAGCGATGAAGACACGGTCGTTGTCGTTTCAGGCAGCGAGGACGACACACTACAAGACAACTTGTTATGCCACATGGAGACTTTATAAGCGTCGTCGCTGGAGTCAAAACAGCCGTCCTTGAGCTCGATGACTCTATCAGAGGATGATTCGCTGGTAGTGGCCGGTGTAGATGGTGCCGCAAGCAACAGTCGCCCGTTCACAGAATAGTTGCTAGAATTGTCTATCAAAGAACAATCTCGCTTCACCGAGCGTCGTTGTCTCCATTGAGTCTGCCAAGAACACACAACATCAAACAAACATTCGTGAGCATCCACATAACGAAGCTGCTCACACAAAGCACGCACCTTAGATACCACATTTGGACTCGTGCTGCTAGCATGCATACTTATAGTTGCCGGTTGCAACGCTGGCTGTACCGCGCTCGTAAGGTTGACGGCTATGTCAAAGCCATCTGACAAAACAGACCACGAGATGCTCAATTCAGTACCTAGCGAGCTGTACAGCCATTCGAAAACAACTGTCTCTTTTAACTCACGCACCGCTTAATGAACCCTCGCTGTCATCAGAAAGAGGGTCATGGTCTGAGATGGCCATGGCCTTCTTCAGCAAAACAGGATGAGAAAAATCACGTTTTTCTTGACTATATGTGCTGCCAGCGCGAGGGATTGAGGCGGACTGAAAGGCATAAATAACGTCTGCACATGTTGTCAGCGGTGAGCACATACAGTAGCAATAATCAAAATAATCAGGAAACAACGTACTATCAAAACATTCAGAAGCTTCCTCCTGATACTGGTCCACTAAAGGGAAACACAAAAACAACAAACACCCTTAGACCCACTTCGATTTTCCTGATACCAAAATGCTATCAAAATTCCACCATCCGTGACATCTTTCCAGCTACTCGACTGCATATGTTGAGAAACTTGAGTTGCTGCATCTTCCTCTTCATCTCCTTATCACAATATTACATAAGTAAGTATCAAAAATCATCAACTTCTCTTTTCCCGTCAATACTCTCACACACCGTCAAAATCTTGGCTTGGATTAATCTCCAAATTGTCCATATCCGTTGCATCCTTTCACCCCAACAAAATGAAGAGATCCAAACCAACCCCCACCCCATTAGTCTCCACATATAAGCTTGTCTCTAATCACAATACAGCATACATATTCTACAAAAGCTGCAAGTTGTTCCTCCATGTCCAAACTCTCTCGTTCCTCGTCACCACGATTGTTCTCGCTGCCATCACGACAGTCCATCGACTGTTTCTTGCCATTTAAAAGCTTGCGCTCTTCATTTCGTTTGCATTTACGAGCTAAAACCATAGCAGAAGCAGACGATCGTGTCTTGAATGGCTGCAAATTCCTATTTTTCCATTCTTTCGTAGCTCGTCTAGTCGGCTCGGCCTCGTCTCGTTGAATATGAGCGCGTTGCAGCCACGAGTGGGTGTCAGTATTGGATCGGAAGCCACTGACTGATCGACGTGGGGGATCAGAAATTCGTCTCATTAATAACGACTGAGCATTGAACGGACGCGAGTAGCTCTTGCTTACGACGTCCTGACACTCGAGCAACATTTTGATCATGTACGTAAATAGTCAAATGTAGAGTGTGCGTACAAAAAAGTATGGCACAAACAGGCGCGTGGTATCAGACGACTGAAAAGAGTGACACTTACAAGAACCGTGTGTACATCCGATGGTTGGAGTCATTCTTTAGAGGGAAAAGAAAGGACAGTGCTTACGCAACCAGTTTGTATCCAGAACGTTACATGTCTTGTGTTAGATACATACGTAACACGTTTCAGTACATGTTCTCATCACTCGGGTCAAACCCACTATTAAGAACAGCCCGGAACTCGTCGTTTGCACGCAGCAATTCAGCGACTCGATCGTAACGCTCTGGATGCTTGCGAATTAAAAAGATGAAACACTCCGTGTCTAATTTGCCCTTGATCGTCGCCAGTTCCATCGCTTTCTTAGTCTTAAAGCAACAAAAGAATACCGAGATCCATGTGAAATCACTAGTCCTGCGTCTACTACTACACTGAAAGCGAGATACGGCGTACCATTGCGTGCACATTTTCCACTACGAGGTCTTCCATCAGTTCTGCCGTTTCATCAAGAGGTTCAGCTTCATCACCAAATCCAAAGAGCATGTGCTTGACTATAAAGTCCATACAGTCAATAAAATATACATCATCATGTTAGTATAGTGTTCCTATGTACCCATTTGATGCTATAAAAAAGAACCTACTGCTATCCACCAGCTCCCCACGCACAAAGGGCTTTAATTGAGCTGTTTGAGTAGCGCTAATCTCAGCGCCTGAGCCAGTTACATCAATGATTTCTGATGCATCCGTTACTAAACGTTTTACAGGGGCAATTTTCGTCTTTGTACCGGCACCTACGTCGCTGATCTTGCGTTTGCGTGGTTTGGGCACAAAAATCTTCTTCTTGCTATTGATTGTATTCATCTATAATCACTATGTGATAGAATGTTTCAGAAGACGATTTATTATTGGACGAAAACCAAGCGCAACGAAATGGCTTCAATTTGCTGTATACAGTCCCGAGCCTATAAAAATGTTAGACAGGTACCCGTTCAAGAATTTCGAGTATGACAAGACGAAACAAGGCATTTTCTCAAGGTTTAAATATGTTGTTCTTGCTTTGTAAAATTAGTTCATGGCCCTCTTTGTTTTTGCGTCTGTCAGGGCTTCCAAACCATTTTACATACGGGTTGCCACCGACACAAACAGCAACTACATGATTCAACGAACCTACAAAAAAGATGTCCACGAAATGGTGAAACCTTCAGAGCATCCAGATTGATCACACGCACCGAAAAACTCGTCGCGGTCGCTTTGGAATCTGGGTAGACAATTCGGGAACAAGACCATCGCTAGGTAGCTGCGGCACATGGTCTAACAAGCCCCATGGGTCTACGGGTGCATATCCCGGTTTCTCGGATCGAGTGGTAACATCGCCTTGAACAGATGTCGACACAGAGCGACCGACAAACCCATTTGCAGCTCCATACATGTTCATCGGACGTGGTAACACAGACCAAACACGCCGCTTGAGGTTATCAGGTAGCTGTAGCGCTTCCACGAGTTCCTGTCATTGTTCAACACACAAAAACGGTTAGCATCACGTACTTGGATGCAACAGGTACAGCGATACTCACAAATTGCCTGTCGTGGAGTACAGAGGCGTTGACGATCGGAATGAGGTCTAGAATCCAGCTAAACAGTGAAAGTCCTGGCCCAGATGAGACTACCGATGTGCCAAGCAAAGAAAATAGTGTTTTGACGATGCGGTCGCGATAGCAAATGGTCAAGACAGCATGCTTGCTGGGCCCGATGACGCCCACAAGCTGAAGCCGCACAGCCAACTTGCATCGAAGTCGACGTTGGAAAAGGTTGTTGTGTAACACCTGGTCAGGGGATGCGGATTGTTGCTGCTTGTCATACAGGGTACAGCCCTCGTACAGCCATTCAAGTTGAGTAGCGAGTGACATCATGTAGCGCGGCAAGAAGGCATTGCCAGGAGGTGTACAGATAATGCCACCAACAAGATGCACAACCGACGTTGTGCTGAACTGTCGAGCAAACTTGTCAGGTTGCGAGTGTTTCACATCGTCTTCGAGAATTTGGAGTATCTTGGCAACCACTGATCCCATAGCACGCCTCGAGATGCTGCAAACTGTGGCGGCATACAAAGATGCCACCGCTGAGTCTTGAGCCTCTCGCGCTGCCTCTAGCATACGAGCTTCGCATGGGGTCAAGGAATTCTGCATTGCTGCAGCAGTCATGGGCAGAGCCAGCGCTGGTATTGACTTCCTTGAAGCATCGTTCGGACCTGGTGTGCCCCCACGGTGTTTGCCGTCGTTTCCTTCTCCAAGATGAACGTAGTGCGGCGTACCGTAGAGCTTTGGAGTAGCAAGAGGTGACGATGACGAAAGGGTAGTCATTGTTGCTGACGTCGTCTGAGCCACAGATACGGATGACGACGTCGCAGAGGATAAAGACAACGAAGTCGATCCAACCCCGGGAGTCGGTCGCGAGCTGCGCTTGAGGGTGCGCAGTACGATCAGGCTCGACAAAATTTCGGTAGCGCTACTTGCTTCATCAAATCCCAACTCGAGCTCAAGGTCGTCATCGTTTGCCTCTTCTTCTCCATCGAAGAAGTCGCTGCCCAGTAGACTACCACCGAATGATGTCACCTTATCTGCTTGACTACCGAGAGACATTCTGCCGTCAGCAAAGTCATTCACTCCAGCTGCAAGAACGCCCTCACCGCTATCCACTGCTGCACGCTTGCTACAGCGCGTAGAGAGGTCTCCCTGGGGTGCTTTTCGTTTATTGGACCCTGCTGGATGCTGTGGTGTTTGTTGGTGCTGCTGTCGTGTGCGTCGCTTAGAACGCTTTACCTTCTGCTGCTGTCGACTCATTTGCAAGTCAAGGTAAATTGAGCCGCCACGATGAAGTGTCCAGACGTTCATCTGATCAATGATTTGCCCCACCTTGAGCAATTGCACCTGCCCGTTCCCGTCCTCTGCAGGCGATGACGGTGGCCGGAAAAAGTGTGTCAGCAGGACAGCTGTATGCCACTGCTTTTTGTGGTAAACGGGAAGAATATGCTTTTCTCGGGCTTCTTTTGTATCATGGAAAATGATGTCGCGAACAATACCGTCTGATGTCAAATTAAAAAGCGTGGCGCTAGCCAACATGCCACGCTCCTCGCGTTTGCGAAGCAGAAAGTTGTCCTCCATCTGGTATGAGATCTGGCACAACAGAAAGCATAACGGGAACATCAAGCACGCTGGCACCTGTGTGCGCAGGAATCGCAGATGGTATTTTGTCTGCGTTCCGGACAAGCAAATTGGTTAGAACTTAGAATACGACTACAATTGCAAGGTGCAGCAAATAGCATCTCACCAACGGCTCGTCGAACATGACTATCTTTTGTGGATCAAGGGGTAAATTCTGCGGGGGCTCCGAAAAGAGCTGAAAAACGAGGGCCATGGCAAGTAGCTGCGTCGGCAAGTTTGGTGGTGGGTCACGCGACGCACGGCGCTAGTGTCACCACAGCCATGAGTGCCAAGTTAGTCACTAACAGTAAGCTCTAATTGAGTACAAAAAATCACATACCAGTCGTGGGAAGAGCGGAACGAGTACCAATCGGAGCACCTGGGAGAGATCTAGCACTCTATGCACAACAAGAGATACCAGAAAACTCTTGAGCCCGTACTGCAGGCGGTCCAGACGGCCTTTTTGGTTGAATGCGAAAGCTTCTTTGCTGTTGTCAGCATTCAGAAATGGATTGCGCGAACGCTTTGGCGTATCACTACCAGCAAAACCAGGCAGCACTTCCTTTTGTAACCACACCACCAGGGTGTTCGAAAACTTTTCGTTGAATTCCTCGCCATTATCAGGATGCTGTTCCACGACCTCCCGAATAAGTCGGACGCAACGGTGCACATAATGCGGGGTTGTGATGGGCCGCTTGCAGTTTGACTTTACCCGAGCCGAGATGTTCGCCATCCATTTGTCCATGACCTCGCTCAGCACAGCTCGGAAGAAGAACACGTAGTTAGGCGTGCGCCGCTCCCGTGTTGCGTTTGCGTTTGTAGACCCCACAGACGATGACGTCATGCTCATGTTGATTGCAGCCACTGCAAAGTCGACAGCGCCATCACGGCATTTAATTTCTGCGGAAGAGGTCGCTTCGCCAACGACCTCCTGCCATGACAAGCTTGTGCAACTGGGTTCAAAGGCTGCTGCAGACTCATTGGATGCTGAAGTATCTTGACTCAAGCTATTGGGGCTCTGTAGCGGAGTGCTACATCCAGCGCCAGGTGTTACAGGTGTCTGCTTACCATCAGCACCAGGGCCATCAAAGGAGCGTGCCTGCAAGGCTTTGAAAGACCGCGCCAGTGCAGTCTTTAGCTCTGGAGGCAAGACCTCGCGGGGTGGCGGAATGCGTACGATTGGATTCGTAACCTCTAGTGCCATATCTTTGGACTTTTGAGACCCGCTGGTCCCGTTACTATTCGCATTAGCACCCGTTCCGTTTCCACTACCTCCAGCAGCAGCAGCAGCATCTTGGTTTTTCCTAGCTGTTTCTGCAATTGGCTTAAGCAGCGCAAATGGCAAGTCCAGCTTGGCGATCTCTTTCTTCTTAATGTGCGCATAGTACATCTTGCAGAAGAACTGAGCCACGTTGCCAGCCTTATCATCGGCGTTCTTGGGGATACGGTGGAAACGGTCCACAAAAGACTGCAGCAGGAACGGTATTTGGTCCGTGGCACAGAAGGCGAGTTCGTGACGTTCAATCATTGCCAACACTACGTTCTTAACGAGAAAACAAGGGGAGCGCCGCAGAAAGTGTACAAGCACTTCAAGAAGTGCCAGCACGTCCACAATTTCAAGCACTAGGCACACAAGCCGCATTACGTGTTCCACACTTCCATAATCCGAGAACCGGAAAAATGTGGCCTCTTCATAAACATTGTGCACAAACCAGCGCGTGAACCGCCCTTTGTCATGGCCGCACATGGTTTTCACAGCTGAAACCAACTCGCCCACTTTGCCCTGATACTCCACTTCTTTCAGTACTCTAGTGCTATCTCCGCTACCAGCAGTAGTATCCGCAGCCCCAGGCGTTCCAACTGTCGACGTGTCATATAACTGGCCGTGGGTGTGAAAGACGTAGATACAAAGCGATTGAGCCCGTTCTAGTGTTTTTGAGTAATTGAGGTGTTCTCGGCGAAGCTCCATGACTTCAAGCCAGCGCAAATAGTGCAGTTCGCCATCATAGCTGTCGTTTGGAAGCATGGGCACACATGTCGGCAACGGAAATGGGCTCCGTGGTAGCTGCCACAAATACAGCTTCAGGCGGTCGCTCGAAGACAGCAAATGAATATCACTGGACTTATATCCTCGTCCTGGTGAACATTCGATATTGTAAGCAGTATAAACCACTGGTGCCGATTCATTTCGCTTGGCGACGCCAACACTGCCTCCAGCTCCAGCGGCTAGCGTTAATAATGGGCTATTGCTCATAGTAGCCGCTGCTTCGTTGCAGCAGGACGCAAATTCTACGAAGCTAGCCACGCTGAACAATCGACGCCGAACGAGGAGACAAAAAAGTTCGATAACTTGAGTAACCTCTGTGATGACCTTAGGCTCGTAACGTTGCAAGAAGTTTTGCAAAGCGCTCTGAAGTACCACTTGGTGATCCTTCGGCCCGCAGTCTGGTAATAAGCCTTTGCTGTTTGAATAGAATGTATCAATTGCGCATATGCGTTAGTTTGAGTATCAAAACGATTCTCACCACAACGTACTATTTGCCGTATTCCAGGAGCGCATTGCTGTGCATCTCGATCAGCGCAAGCGCAGATAAATATCTGTACTCAGCTGGCCGCTGGTTTGTCACTGCCCACTCGCACACTAGAAAGATGGCAGCAACATCGACAGGCAGTTCCGCTGAGGATCCGTTACCAATGGGACTCGCGGTTGGAAGCGGGCTAAACACCTCGCTATAAACCCGATGCAAGTCCGAGGTCGAGTCTACACGATGAAAACGGTCTATAGTCTGCAACATTTGCGCCTCATTACGCATGGTAGCGGCAAGCACCTGACCTCCACCCACCGAACTTAAGGAGGGGCATGCCTGTTTCAGTCGAAGGATACGCCCTGCAATATCTCTGTTTTTCCGCAGACAACGGCTAATACATGCCTGAATTGCTGCAGCAGTATAAGCGTCACGATTAAAGAATCTGTCGGTGAATACGTAGGCTGGCCATAACGGCGGTGCTGCACATCAACATAAAGTCAACAAGATTCGTAAAACTAACAATTTACAACGACACGTCAGCGTACCGTTGTCTTCCAGACGAACAAGGACATCATTGCCGTTAAGCAATACATTACGCAGCAAGTTACACAATGCCACAAGAAGCTCCTCCTGAAGTGAGCTTCCTGTAGTCTCCGGAGGTACTGGGTGACTTGGAGGCAACAGGTAACGCAACTGCTGTAGCAACATTTTTACAAGCAATAAGACTGCATCCGCAGACAGCAGAATCTCTGGCAGCAGTTTTTGCACCACCGAAAGCAGCTCCATAATACGATTTACTCCGAGCGCCAGGACGGTCGAACACTGCGCAGGGCTATTCCCTCCGCGTTGTGATCGTGGCGTCAAAGATTTTTGCAGTAGCGACAGCAGCCCGTCAAAATAGTGCGTACGATCCAAAAGCCCTACCTTGAACTGGTATTCCGACAGCTTTAGTACGTACGACCATTTTTCCTGCCACGATAGTGCTTTCGGAGAAAAATCTACTCCATCACTACTAGATGCTGTCGGGACACCGGTACCCGTAGTAGCATTTGCTGAAGATGAAATATCTCCATGCCGCAGCCTCAGAGCCATATGTGTGCGCTGTGCAAGCCCTCTACTGGTCGCTGTCGAAGGTAGTGGCGCTTTACTGCTCGTCCTCGAGGATATCTGAGTGCCATTTGCCGTTGCTTTAGAGTCTGCTAATTCCGTCGACCTAATTTCCGTCCCTGCACTAGTTTCCAATGATGTCTGACGGACCACTGAGTGCAAATAGTCAATAAGTTTGTCAGTCCATCCTTGATTGCGTCGCTGATTGCGTCGCGGGCTAAAGAACCAGTCGCCTTTTCGAAGAGCACCATCTCGCTGAAGCTCCCGCATTTCCGTGTAAACGACATTTATCCGCACAAACCACGTGGCATTAGCGTATCCAGGTCGATACTTCACCACAAATTCGAGAAGTGGGCACTTCGAGACGCCTGGTACTGCCCTCCAGTGCTTAAAAGGCACACCATGTGCTTGTGTAAGTTCTGCGGTACTACGAGCACCGCTCGCCAAATCGCTCATCCATATATGACTGGTGCGTTCATCTAGCCGCCGCACATGACGAATCAAATAGTTTATAAATGCACGTTCTACCGACGCAGTAGTTGCTGCCACTCCATCATCTGTAAGCACAGGTGTCGGTGTCGGAATCTTCACTGCTGCACCTTTCATATCTTCTGTATCTTTCCGTAATCGAGCAATAGCACGCGTCGTCCGTATAAGATCGTCAAAAATAGGCAGTTTCTTATCCGTAAATGCTGAATATTGCAAATGCCATTGCTGATTAAATCCACGTGGCAATGGACTTACAAATGCTGCATTCCGCAAAGCATGAAACCGAAATTTCTCCTCTGGAAAATTGGCATCCGTTGGAAAAACACCTGGATACATGACCAACTTGTCTGTCAAATACGGATGGGCTGGATCCTATATCATCATACAGCATACCACCATCATACAGCCTAATCAGCCTTCTTTCAGTCTCCTACCTCTTGTTAACCCCCCCCCTAACTGTACCTTCATATACTTGGTATCCATACCAATAACACGTGTAGCTGCATCAGCAGGTGTTAAATCATTTCTTCGTGCTCCTGTTCGATGCATAAGCAGTAAATTCTTTCGTTCCCGGAGTCTCAGTGCTGGACTACCCGAGACACCAAAAGAACTGCGAGTTCCACCACTATTACGTCGTTCCCTGGCCCCATCTCGTGAGTGAGAACGTGGACGACTACGTCCATCTCGATCCCGGTCTCTTTCATTGCGTTCTCGATCGCTACGATCTCTTAAAGCCGTCGCATTGGACGAGACACGACGAGGTATTCCACGACCAGAGAAACTTGACGCTTGATACGTGTTTGTCGTCGTCGTCGTATTAGTAGTAGTACGTCCATGATGAGATAAAGAGTTTCGATCTTTATAGATGGATCCATCACGACCGCCTTTACTCTCGCTCGTGTGATAACTCTCCATGACCTACTTCCCCAATAGAGAGACTTTGTGCTTTTAGCTTCAAAATGGTCTCTACTGGGGGACTGGAGGACTCTAGTTTGTTGATAAAAAACCGGTATATCGATATTCACCTGACCACAATAATTAGTGTAAACACGTGAAAAATACCGAACGGGTAGGTGAAAAATAAACTTTTTTTCTATCTTTTAATTCGTATACGTATACCTTCTATTTTTTTCTTTGGATTGTAGCCAAATAACAATGATGCAGGACGAGCAGCAGTGTTTATTGCCTAGAGAAGACGACGGGGACGTCCAATTATCGATACAGGACGAAGTATTAAAGGCTGCATCTGATTTGAAACAATGTGAAACGAGTGGTCGTTCTTGGACGTCATTGCGCAGTGACGTCTGGACTTTACTGCACTATCGGACGTCGCTTACAGAACGCTCGAAATTGCAGCGTGCTTCCTACGTCTTGGAAATTTGTGTACTGGTACTTATTACACTCAATGTGTTACTAGCCATGTATGTGTCGACATCATCCGCTGGTCCTCCACGTACGTTGAGCAGTTACTTGGTCGTAGACATTTGAAACTGCTGCTGCTGCTGCTGCTGTTGCTGCTGCAGATTTGTAGATATGGAACTAATCGAGTGTTGACAGTGGCAACGTCATCGGACTGGTATGAATTGTTTCTGTACGTGTCGACAGCATTGTTTACGGTGGAGTACGTCCTCCGTCTTTGGTCATGCGTGGCGGACGACAGATTTACACATCCAATCTGTGGCAGGTACTTTGAGGTGATGCTTCAGGTGCAGAAATGTTGTTATGTGACGTGTTGCTGTTGTTGTTGTAGACTTAAGTGGATGGTACGACCGATGTCCATCATTGACCTTGTCGTGCTTATTCCGTTTTATCTGGAGATCTTGCTGGAGCATCAGTACGTGGCTAATCAAAGAAGTGACGAGATGATACACGCTAAGGGCTTGTGTATGTGATTGCGTAGGGTTTTAGTCTCGTCACGTGGTGTGTTAACATTGCGAGGCTTTCGACTTTTGAGGATCATGTCGTTCCTACACCTTGAACGGTCGTACAAAGCGATGAAAAACCTACGCGAGATTTTCACGCTAAAGAAAGAGGAACTTGGAGTCGTCAGCTACCTCACGATTGTCATTGTTTTGACCTCCTCTACTACCATGTACACAAAATGACGATCGTACTTGTACAAGTGTGTGTTTACAATATTGATTCAGGGTGTGTGTTCGCGTAACTGAACATTTGTAGCTTTTTCCTCGAGAATCCATCGCAGCCTGCCGTATTCTCCAGCATCGGCACATGCTCATGGTGGGCCATCGAGACCATCACGTCTCTTGGATATGGCGATATCGTCCCCATCACTGGTCCGGGCCGGGCTTTCTCGTCCTTACTAGCACTCTGGGGCATCATTTTGTTCACAATCCCCGGTGAGTCATACTAAAGTGGCTAAGTGTCTGTGGTCCTGAACTGACGCGGCCATTCCAGGTGCTATTCTCGGAAGTGGCTTTGTTGAAGTGATGCTCAAGAAACAGGAACAGAAGAATGAACAAGCGATGGGAGAGTCGATTCGAATTTCACTAACACGAGCGCTCAGCTCGAGCAATATCACATTTCCAGGTGCGTTGGTACTGAAGCGAGAGGATTGTCTCTGCTTTTGGTTGATCATGTTGGAATTGTACAATCTTGATTCTTCAGGAACAGGTCTAGATTCGCCAGAGGTAATGGAGTCACTTCCAGCCCCAGCGTCGAGTTTTCCCACGCCTCGCAACAACTTTTCATTTGTAGCCCCGACACCTCCAATTGTGCGTCTTCAAGAACAAGTTGATCGACTTAACACGACGCAGGTTTGTTCATCTTGTTCCAAGAGTGCTTTTTATCAGCATCATCCAGTTTCTTCACACGAATCCTCACATTGTGCCAATCCATGGAATTCAGCTTCAACTTCAAGCGCAATTAAGCCACCAGGAATCCCAACTGCAGAAGATCATGGCACTGCTGGAGGAAAATCTATCCTACTCACGACCAAAACCAAAAGCTGTGCCACCATTTAGCGCCATCGTTCCATCTGAGTGAGTCAGCAGACATGGCTACACTGATTTCGTAGCCATTATGGCTACACATCCATAATGTAGGCTTTTAAACATGTCATTATCTGAACTGCTCGTCAACATGCAGAGTATGCGTCTCTCATTGCCTTCGTCCCCTTATACAGAGCTAACAAATCTGCCAATATGTATCATTATAATACAGACCCCCATGAAGAAAAACAAAAAGCATTGCTCCAGCGCATCACTGGCTCGGTGGCTCGACTGCATGAGATCCTCAAGGAGATTAACACGCAATTGGAGGTTGTCGCTTCGTGAAGACTGCAGCTGCAATTGAAAACAAATCATTTGGGTTTCTGATCTTACTAGTATCCATTGTCTGCTTGTAGAAAAGTGACTCGTTTCGGGATGAGCTGAACGTTACATGTCAAGTGTGGAAGGGCTACGAGAGCCGCGTCCAGTCGCACTGTGATGCTGCAATTGCTGCAACCCAAGAGCAGACACACAATTAATACGCCTACTTGATTGATGTCTTGCACTGATGAGCATGGCAAATGCTATAATGACAAGGAGCCAGAATGACAGCTAAAAATACCTGCGTCTCTTGAATGATAACACGGTTGTCAAAGCTGTCATGGGCTTTGGGTTGAAAACAATGTTTCTGGACTGTTTGGATCAGTGCCGTGCTCACATCATCTCGAAGCAGAACGAGTTGTCCTGCATTACACGGTTTCCCCACCACCATATGTGCCTATCATCACTGACGCCTTGATCCATGATGTAGATCAGAGGAGACCCACGCAACCAGAGTATGAAGAAGTTCTGCGTCATGCTGTTTTAGCTGCTGCTCCGCTATCGACAACGCCTTGGCCCCATCGCTTTGAGAATGTGCATGCAGACGCTCCAAGTGACGGATGAATGCAGCATGCAAGCGTTCTCGCAGCAGCGCTATCCAACGCGCTTCAGCAGCACTGCTCAGCTCGAACACGATCCAATCGTCCAATACAAGCAACCACTTACGTGGGGCTACGGGCTCATCATTTTTAACCTCCACATCAGCGTCCTGCTCTTCTATCGATTGCCTTTCCACCGATCCCATAAGAAGCGCCTGTAGCAAAAGTGACGGCAGCTTAGTGCCATATTTTGCAACACGAGTACGCTCAGATTGCATCATTTCATGATACACGAGCCATTCATCCGGTTGGCTAACTTCCTTCTGTTCAAAACCAAGCTTTCGCTTGTCTTTTTGAGAATTAGCAGCAGACCACATCACCATAGATGCACCATCTATCTTCACTTTTACTTTCTCCTTCGAAGTCCAGTTACGGCTTACTCCACCTGAACGTGTGAACAACGCATTCGGGTACATACCAATACTGAGAGCCATCAAGTACGGTGCGATGCTTTCCGTAGTTGCTGGCATCCTTGACACTGCCGTTGGCACAAGTTGGGTAGAGGTCGAGAGCCCCATCATGTCTAAATCTTGCTGCAGCTGCTTGTAGATAGAAACAAGTTGGTCCAGAGTCTGTCGGTGCAGCTTATTTCGAGCACAAAACGCATCCTTTGCCTGGAATGAGGACCGTGTTCGCGCGTCGAGGTATGCCTCAAATGCCTTCCAAAGAACAAAATGATCACTTTGCACGGTTTGCGCGGGCGGCGATCCATTGCGGGCAAATGCCTTCTTGGAAGCGTTCACCTGGCGCTGTTCTTCTGGAGACATGCCAAGGAAACTGATGAATGGATCCCGGTATCCGCTCAGCGTGCACGTAGTCTGTAAGATCGCGTCAAAGCAGCCGAAGGTATGTCCCCAAAGCAGAAGCTTCGCCATCTGCACAGATACACCTCCTGAGCAAATGTGTCCTAAGTGCCAACCCAGCAAGGTCAGGGACCGGTCCCCCCTTTCACTGCTAGCAAGTGCGCGCATATCTTCCAATCGCTGCAGTGAAGCATCAATCACGGTCTCGCTTGGCGCATCCATCGCCTCCAGAAGAAACTCCTTAGCATCACGGATGTGGAGCTTCTTCTCAATTTGAAGTAGCATAATCTGCAGCAGCAGCTCTTCTAACGGAGTGGTAAGCAATTCTGGAAGCATAAACTCTTTCATGGCAGTTTCGTAGCGTGACTTCGAAAAAAGACGGAAGCAAACACCTGCACGAACACGACCAGCGCGACCTGTGCGCTGCACACAATTCGCCCGCGCGATCCACGTAGTCTGCAACCCCATCACAAAAGATGAGCTTGAAGTCGCAGCAAGAGCATGCGTCTGCTTGGATTTACCACAGTCCACGACAAACACCACGTCTTCGATAGTGAGACTGGTTTCTGCGATGTTGGTAGCCAGCACCAGTTTCCGTTTTCCATGCGGTGGTGTCATGAATGCGCGACGCTGCTCCTGCGGTGATAAGCGCGAGTGAAGAAGAGCTATTTCGTATATGGCTGATGTTGCTGGTGAGTTAAGTAGAGCGCGCTCCATAAACGAGATCTCTTCCCAACCAGGAAGGAATACCAGAATGGCTCCTTTTCCATCTTCGCCTAGCGGAAAGGTATGGTTTATAAGGAAAAGCAGCTGCAACAACAAGTCATAGTCCACAGATTGGTCCTGTCGTAGTGCGTCTTGCTGCTTCATGTATGACGAAAGTAAAGCCTCTTTGACCTCAGCATTTGTCCTACTCAGTGCGGTTTGCAGAACGTTGCCCATGGCAGCAACAGAGACTGCTACTGGGGCGATTTCTGGTACGGGTGTAGGTAGTGCTCTAAAATCAGCGCTGCTGGGCTCACCGAAGCAGGTTGCTACGTGCCTACCGAAAGTCTCTTCATCAGCAAAACTTGCGCCTCCACACAAAGGACAATCTAGTCCGTTACTCGCAGTCGCCCCTCCTATCTGACTAATCAATCCGTTTCCAGTATGATCAATTCGCGAGTCGTCCATAGTTGGCAAAGGCAAAGCGTGATCGCTCTGCAACAGCGCCAAAATGTCTTCGAGAAAAAGTGTTGTTACCGGAAAGTTAGTACCTCCCACCATTTGGAGTACAGGCGCCGGAAAGTCGGGTTGGAAATACTGCGAGAACTTTTCTACTTGGATGGTGGCGCTCATAAGGATCACCTTGAGATCTGGTCTCTGCTTGAGAATAGACGTCTTGATAAGAATAAGCAAAAAGTCAGTAAACTGGTCACGCTCGTGCACTTCATCCAAAATAATGTGCGAAAATCCACGCGCAAATGGATCATTATTCAGCCACTTGAGCAGCGTGCCCGTCGTACAGAAAATTAGTTTGGACCGCTTTGCATCAAACGACGAATCAAATCGAATCGCGTGCCCCACTTCTTTCGGGTCTTGTCCGATGCGTTCCCGTGCTACACGCTCCGCAAGGGAGATCGCGCTAATTCGTCGTGGTTGAGTACAGATGATTCTCGTCTCGTGTCCCTGTCCTCGTGCTAAAGCGTCGTCCAGCAAGAACTGCGGTATCTGTGTCGATTTTCCACACCCAGTATCTCCTGACAGCACCACGATCTGATTCTTTTCGACAAGTTCTAGAATCTGTTCGCGATATCTATACACGGGCAGTTTGGTCGCTTCAATAGGTGGAGTTCTCACCGTCTTGGGTCCTGTCTCATTCCCTCCACATGGTAGAGGCTTAAATAGTGACGCACCACCCCGTCCATGATATCGAGTAGGTACTGCAACCAATGGACTCAGATCTTTGACACTCCATGGGTCCAAAACCTCATCCTGTACCGACGGAGCGGGATATCTCTCCATATATTGCATCACAACAGGTGGAAACCACTCCACTGTAGTAGAATTGAGTGGAGTAGCTGGTAAACGTAGCGACACTTCTTCCAGTGCCGCATTCTTCTTCACTTTGGCCACATGAATAAAGCGTCCCGCCTCTTTCTTGCCTGAGCTCTTGGAAAAAAGACCGTACTTCTGAGCCATTGAATGGATGTACCGTCGTTGTGTATTGTCATAGCTACAAGAAAAGCTCAATTCCATTCGCTCGCCATCCTCCACAAGTGACTTGAGAGCCGCGTGGATCTCCATGCAAAAACTCTCATCCAGACTAATGGCATCCTCAGAGGAACCCCCTTTGGCTGTAGAGGCTCGAAAGTTGCTGGTAGATGAAGCAGATTCATTATAAGAAAGACCGCGACCACGACTTCGGCCTCCACGTCCCCGACCACGTCCTTGACGGCCGCCACTACTGCGACTCGTGTACATTGGAAGGACGTTGGTTTTTTGATCTTTCTTCTAATCAGAAATGGGTCACTGGAGCAATTAAAATGGGTAAAATGCTATCTGATTCCTTAAATTCTTGTAAATCATTAAGTTTTTACAAAACTTAATACAAAACTCGAACAAACGGTGCATAAAATCCACTAAGATCACATCTTTTTTAGTACCACAACATCGGCTTAGCACACAACGCTTAAACTTACTTTTTAGGAGATGGCCGTGTACCTTGCGCTTCATAATGACGTTCTTGTCATACGCATGCCACATCGTCATCACGTTTATACGAAAGGTTTTGCGACATGCAGAATCAAAAAGTAGCAGCGGTCGCCAGCGACTGGATTCAATATGTACGCCAATCAGCGCAATGGGTAGCACGATCGCTGTAGACGGGCACTTCTACGAAGTTGCCTCGTGCTACTAGCACACACCTTCAGCACAAGCGAGGAAGCGGTTAGACCGTCTTACCTTCGCGTGCGAGGGTGGTTAGGAGGTTGGTCGACTGCTTAAGCAGTCGTACCACCAGTTGCCTTTCGCTTAAGCGAGAGCGCAACGAACTTCTGAACAAGAAGTCACCGACGTCACGCAAAAGCTTTTCAGATTCTCGTACGTGGTGCTTTGCGTTTGGGAAATTCAAGACTGAGTTATATTTAATGAATTATAACTAAATATAAACTTAACTACTGATTGGCTAATTATGTAAAGATCGGATACGCGACTCTTTAAAAGCGTATCCTGACGTGCAAGCTTAAATATATAGATTTAAGGTCACTAATGACGTCCGTCTGAGACGTCGCGATGCCTAGCTTCAACTAGCGTCATCCCTTCCCATGTAAATCCATCAATGGATTTCACATTCACGAGGGTGGATCACGTTTGTGTATCGCACCCAAGTGACAGGTCAAAAGTAATCATGGGTACTTTAGACCTTACATTAAGTATATTACTTAATGTTTACGTGTAACTAGATACCCTGTTACAATCGCAATGGGTGGCACGATCGCAGTGGGTAGCACGATCGCAATGGGTAGCACGATCGCTAAGTGGCGATGCGCTGCCCCTCAGACTCAACAGCCCAGAGATGCGACGCTACGATAGAACATCATCAACCCAAACAATTACACTTAATGTAAGCATGACTGTTGAAATTCGAATCTGGAGCGAAGCTTGACTGGGGCGAAGGGAGCTCTCCAGGGAAGACCGAAGAGAAGACACTTGAGTAGAAGAGGGATTGTTTGGAAGTGATCGATTATGAAGCATACGTTGCCTACTATCTGTTTTTATATGGGCTCACGTATACACATCATGGAAAGCGTCACATCATTTTACGCGTCTTAATTAACCCTGAGGTGATTACCGTGAACACTTTATGGTAAACTAACCCTTGCAGTGCGGATTGTATCCGCACCCTCAGCATACCGATAATCTCACTCTCCAATGCGAGCTTGCATGGATTTCGAGAGCCTTCTTCAAGTCCTAGTGACGTGTTCCTAGCAGTCTTTCGTCATGATGTCCGCTAGCATGATTAAATTCTCGCAGTATTGTGACTAACCTTCGTCATGCTTGACCTCATCACGGATGTGATGATACTTGATGTCGATGTGCTTGGCTCGACCATGATTCACCGGGTTCTTCGTCATCTTGATGCACGACTGGTTGTACTCGAGAATGATAAGATCTGGCCTCGACTCGTAGTCGCTTATGTAATCTCGCACAAGAAACGGTGAATCCATTTACCTTCCTGGATGGCCAGACTTAGCTTGATAAATTCTGCTCACTTGTCGACACTGACACGCTTGATTGCATCTTACTTTCTCAGCTTATGGAGGTTATGATGCAGAACTCTTGCTCCTTCATTACTCCATACAGGAAAGCCGTAACCAGGTCAAGTTGGTCAAGAGGTCAGTCAAATGACTTGGTGATCGCTATATTCATACACAAGGTGACATACTTCACCAACATCGAGAACGTCTCCGTGTAATTGATGCCTTATTTTTGCTTGACGCCCTTCGCAACAAGGCGCGTTTTGAATTTCTCGATTGAACCATCCGCCTTGCGCTTGATCTTAAACACCCACTTGGTGCCGATGTCGCGCTGGTTGCTAATTTTGCAGCGCGAAGGCGCCTCGAAGTTGCATCGACTCGATTTCCGCTTGACATCCACGCCAGTGCACTTGATTTGTCTATTTATTGCGTCTTCAAAAGTTGCTATCCCCATGAATGTAAAACATCAGAAGCAGTGAATATATTCTAATATGACTATTAGTCGGATCTACTAGAGATTCACGAGATTGGGAAGTGTTAAATGGAGGAGTTCTACAATTTGTTCCGTCAATGGTAAAACCCAGCCAAGAATGCAGGGATGTTCCCGGAGAAACTCGAGAAGATGGCAAATTAGGACGCTCGCCAGGTTTGAATCTGGTACGAGCCGAGCGTTCTAATTGCTTTCCAACGTTGAAGACACGCGGGTGTGCTAGATGCAAATAGAACAAGCGTTATCTCGACGCAGCTATAATAATCTAAAACGCGATGCCCACTTATTGGTGCATCGTGACATTCAAACATGATCCGTAACCTGATATTATGTTTCGGCGGTACAACGACACGGATCACTTCTGTAATGGCAACTGGAATAAGACCGAATATTGCGTTTGCAGTGTGTCGGCACCCTCCGATTACACTCTTGGTGTTTAATTTCCCCCACCAGACTGACGTTCCCATAGAATGCCATTCGACATCTTTTCTCCAGCTCGAAAAGACTGGTGTAGTGATTGGGCTGATGACAGGTGGTCAGTCCTGCACAGAGTTGAGAGCCTGTGGAACTGTCGGAGCCTTCTCCGGTCCTGCTCTCGTGTCTGGAAGATCTCACAGCCGATCCACGCAACACGGTCTACATCATTAGCGGAAGGAACAGCACAATTATCTACTTCTAAAAGTCAGAATTGACTTATAACTAACTCAAATTCTTGTAACATTTGCTATTCATCAGCTCGAGGTGGACGCGCTCACATATCGCATTGGTTTTAGTGTGGTCAAGTCGATCGAAGAATTGGCCAAATCATATGCTTCTACTGCATTGTCACTGACACACCTGTTGGCTGTAGGCGTAGAGTCATCATCGTGATAGCTGTTACCTTCTTTCTTTTCTTCGTCATCGTAGTTTAGCACTTCTGATCGGCTCTTCTGATGACGGTCATACAAGTTGTCTAGTGCATTTGCTTCTCGTAACCCAGCTTGACGACGCACGGAGCGCACAACATTATTGCTCGGCCGAGTTTTGCGCTTGCCAGTCTGCTTAAAGCTGATCTGGCGCATGTCATCGTCGTTGATCTCGCTGAGCTTGTCATGATTGGTAAGGAATGGTTATTGTATCATCTTCCTTGGTTACCACCCGCACACACACTTTATTTAGTTAACTTGGGAGGTATCGTAGCGTCCTTAAATATGTCACTGGTCACTATCTCGCACGGAACATCAGATGAAGCGTGAATCATACATCATGTAAATTAATGGCCCGTATAGTAGTTGCTGCGTAGCCGATCCTTGTGGTTTCCGAAGCAATTAATGTACATCGACGAGATCCGACTTAGCCACCACTTGTATCGAGTTCTTGCATGCCACGTGCATCGTGAAACCGTCAAACACCACTCAAAACGTGTCGCTCTTTATCTGCGGCACCGAATGTAGATTTTGTTCATAGTAGGCACAAATAGCGCGTCATTGATCTCGTTGTCGCACTCGTCGCCGTTGGATGGAACCACTCGCTTAACGATGGTTTCCACAACTTTGATTGCGTACTTGTTGCATCCACCACTAGTTCTCCTTCATCCCGCTCGTTGAGATCTACAAACTCGGCCTTGTCGTTGCAGATGTAGTGCGCCGCACCGCTGTCGACCGCCCACATCCCTAGTACATTCTTGCCCGTTGATAATCCGCATTAAAGCGACACTGCGAAGGCGACTCGATCATGTTGCTCGTAGTCGACCTCATTGCGTCAGTAAACATCGTTTGCCCCGCGTCCACGACCATTGCCGCCGCGTCTTGGTTTCTTGCTCTCAATCATCTGCTTGGTCCAGCACCCCCGTTCACCGTATGCCCCACTTTTTCGCGGTACGTACGTTGGTGCAGTTCACGCTCGATAGTAAACGCCTTGGCCACGTCTACAGTCTTGATCACGTAGCCTTCGCACCTTGCCACTTGGATATGATAGTTCGTCAGCACATTTACACCGCTCTCGCGAATCGAAGCTCTGCACTGTTCATCTCCAAGTTGAGAGCTACATTCACAAAACTCTTGGGCAGACTCCGCAGCAAATAGATCGCGACGTCCACTTCCTTCATTTTGGCGCCGAAGCTTGCAAGCTTCTCGCTGATGTTGAGAACCTCATTGCAATGATGTAACACATTGCCGCCTTTTGCCATCTCTACACTTAAGAGCTGACGCTTCAAAAAGATGCGCCCAGCCTTTTGCGATCCGCCATAAAGTGTCTTAATCTTCGCCCACGCAATCTAGGTATCGTAGCAATTATCAATTATACGATGATAGTACGCGTCCATATGCAAAAGCATAAGATCGAACGCGACGCTGTTGATCTTTACATATTCCTCCATGGCGCGCGGGTCCGCAAGCGTCGGCGAAGTTTCGCGATTGACGAAGTACCACGCCGACTTGGTTGGAACACGCCACGCATGTAGTGTCTCCAAGTCGCGTAGTGCCTCCATTGAAACGATTAATGGAGACTTTGGCTGAGAAATCTTGCGAAGAAGGCATGACGCCAGGGTTTATAACCTGTTTATTTTCGCATCTGGAGCGAGGCTTGACTGGAGAAAACGGAGTTCTCTTGAGAAGACCGAAGAGATAACACTTGGCTTTGCAAAAACGCTGTCACAGGCATAGATCAGCAAGATTATTCAAAAGCTGGCTAATCTGGAGACCACATATCGAAACAGTCTCAATGCGAAGTGTAGTGTAGGGAATATCACATTTATGATATTCCTATAGTTAAATGGGAAATGAGAAATAGTCCCAATGTGATATTCCTAAAATTCGACCGCGGCGAGTTGTGACTGTCGAGCGTCCAGTCGTCGAGTCGCGATCGTCGACTTTCGGTCATCGAGTTCTCTGGCCGTCGAGTTCTCTGGCCGCCGAGTCTCTCGTCGTCGAATCTTCGCTTGTCGAGTCTTCGCTCGTCGAGTCTCCGATTGTCGAGTCGTAGCTCATCGAGTTCTCGGCTGGTCGAGTCTTCAAATGCACGACTGTCCTTTTCACTAAATAATTGTATAAGACACTGGAATGGCTGAGAGCCATTCAGAAGACTCTCTAGAGTAGAAAAAGAGATAAACTAATAGACAGCAAAGTATTTCAAGTGAAGAACACGTGTACACCTTACGGCAATCCCTGAACGGGTCGGATTATGCCTGCTATCGAACGCCGCGACGCATAGCTTGTGGTAGTTCGACCGCTGGTAGCGCCAAGAGTATAAGTCGGCCCGGGATGGGCATTGCTCGCGTATTAGCGAAAGAGAGTCTCGTCGATCGACGAGCCGGTGTGCTTTTTACCGTAAACCTTCTAGTCGGACGTAAACTGCACCCGGTGACCTGTAACAGTGCGAGAGCGCCGGTGTCCACCCATTATGTGAGATCACACGACGTGAGAGTAACGAAAGCTGCTGAGCTCAGGCAGGCTACTGAAGAATTGGTTGTGGGTACTCAGCTAAGGCGAATGCCGCAACATTGATCCCGAAGGGGCGAACCACGAAGGAGATTATTCCTAACGTATTAGCTCAATTGCACTGACTTACTCGGCAAATTGCTTTTTTATATTATTAGCCACCCCAATAGACTTTCTAACAATCACTATATCACATAAGCTCTAGTGGCTGGTATAACATCCTATACTGGAAGAAGCTATGGCTATTTGGGTCCTGCAGTGTCAACACCGCGGATTGATTATCATTGGGGAACATATATGTGCGGAATCCCAGCGGCTTGCCCAATCGCTTGGAACTCCAGAAGACGTCATCACTTCCTCGCATGAATGGCTTACAAATTTCAGTAACATCACAAGCTCCGCGCTATTCGCATCCACGATGAAAGCGGTTCGGTGAACGAGATGGCTATAAAAAACTCTGCCTGATCGAAAATAATTCATTTACGAGCACGCTCGGTGTAAGATTCAAAACATGGATGAGATCGGTAGGGTTTTCTGTCTAATTATTGCCTGAAAAAGGAGCGTTCGTAAAATTTGCTTTTTGCAAGACTGATCTACAGCATGACACCTGACAGGACTATTGCACAGCAAGAGATTAAAGGACACAAGAAAAACAAAGTAAGTGAAATTCCAGATGGCTAATTATTATTTACTGACAGAACATATACGCTAACACCAATTGCAGACGCGGGCATTTATTGCGTTCACTGCAAATACGGATGGATCGTACAAGCTGCGGCCTTTTCTATCGGTAGAGTCAAGAAGCCTCGGAGCTTAAAGGACAAGTCAGGCCAAGCACTTAATTTTTCTACTGAATCAATACAAAGGCTTGGATAACAGGCGTGATCTTCAAGGGTATGGCTTGCAAATGTGGACAAAACAATGAAGGTGCGTGGTCAGCTATAACTACAAACTACTATTCTCTTATTGATTTTTACATCGTGTCATTTTTTCAAGGCAAAAGATCTTCTTTTGCTCAACAATGCTCCGTCGTATATCAGGATGGTCTGGAACTAATGAATGTCAAGGTACAGCTGCTTCCACCAAACACGGCGTCCAAGATCTAGCCGATGGATGCTGGCATCATCGCAGTATTTCAGCGGCGGTATCGCCGCTACCATCTGTTAATTCATGATGCGTCTTGATCTGCACTTGTGCAGAGGTAGTTAGAATTAAAAGTAAAATATACTTAGCATTAACTACTTTCGTTTGTTAATACTACAACATGCTCTCCAACGGCACTGCTACTTGACCATGTAAGTGTCAGATGGCATCCATCTTACCTGCCCATCTCGTTTGGTGGTCCCATATTGCAGCCGTACCGCCTTGTCCCAACTGTCCAGTTGTTTCTTGGCCGTCCCATCTGTCCAGCTGTTGCCCTGTCTCTTCCTGTCCCATTTGCCACAAAACCGGCCGATCAGGTGAGATCGTCCCAGGTACACTTGGACCTTGAAAAACCTGACAATTGTCACACACGGTCCTTTCTTACACCATCTGCAGAATTCGATCAATTGCTACGAGCGTTAGAAGGTCAAACACATTATCAAATCGACCAAATTGACTGTCATGCGCTGGTCAGTTGCTGCCTGGAACGGCTTTTCGGCCAATACCATTGCCAACTGCTTCAACCACACGGGGTTGTTTTCGAATCTTTTTGTCGTTTCAAGTGTTGTGGGGGTGGAGAGTAACAATGATAGCGCGTAGGAGGCTGACGAGGTGGAAAGTGAACTGGAGCAGGATGTGAGCGATCAGCTCGAGCATCTGCATATCCGGGATCCCATGACGATTTTTGAGCTTCTCGATTCCATTAAGGAGGATGAGACTGCTCAGCCGGAGCTGAGAGAGAACGAGATTCTGGAAGAGGTAAAGGAGGCACAGAGGAGGGATAAAACGGTGAAGGTGTGGCATCTGTCGCAGACAAGAACACCAGAACCAAAAAGATCAACACCTCCTTCACTCTTTTTTGCTCTATGCTCACTCTTATTTTTCATTATCTAGTTTTAGTACACACCACAGTCTACTCACTCGTAATGTCGGCTTCCTGTTCAATATATCCCAGGAAAGCCACCAAGCTGAGGATTGGTAAGCTCTCCGCTATTTAAATTTGATATCGCAGTGCACCCACCACCCAACTACCATAGATATGTAGTTTAAGTAGGCTTCAACTTTCACAATATAAAAGTACTCATTTTATAAGGTTATACTGCCCTTGTTGATTATTACTCAGTACTTTTAACACAACGACCATACAACTAGCTTGGTGGACGCGAAATTTGATAACATACCGAAGGTTATAACTTATTGGAAAATAACCTATTGGAGGAGATCTGTAATGTAATACCTGCAATGGAAATATCCGATCAATAGTAATACGTTTCATGGCCACTTCGTATATATATTGCCTTTTGTTGTCATCGATCCTCGCAATGCGCTGACTGCTGACAGAAAATTACGCCCATTACGACTCGCACGTGAATCTCCGCTTGCATACACAGCAATTCTGGGTCCTCGTCTTACATTAATGCTTCGCACACGGTCTGAAGTTACAGGCTAGCTTCAATTTCCTATATAGAATGGTTTTTGTTGTGCTAGCTGTCGTGGTGATA